CGTTTTTGTAGCCTGCGAGCAAGTTTCCTTGCCCGGTCTTGGAGGAGGGGGGGGGGTCCTTTCAGAACATGCAATGCATTCTCTTTCCCCTTTTCCATAAATAACAACCGGTCTATAAGTTTTATTGAACAAGGAAAGCAATGTCTATGTATCACTTCAAAATTAAAAGTATGAATTGAAATCAGTGTTTTACTGAAAGGGTTTATTGAGGTTAAGGTGAAGGGAAATGTTTCGCTCCATAGCTTTATTTGTACTTGTGAAAAAGCTCCAAGCTCTTCTGATTAAAAATTGACCTAGCATTTAATTTTTGCCATCAAATGACAAAAAAGGGTGTATTTGATTATGTAGGCGATGTACATACAATTAATTTTGTATGAGTTACGACAGCTAAAATGAAATTGAATAGACCTTGTCACAGTTTTCGACGCCATCTTGATGAGTAGGCAAACGCGTGAGAAATTACAGTGTTTGTATGAGAATCTAATGTCCAAAAATTTCCGTAAAACGGCTCTTTTAAAAAATATATGAATTGTAAACTAAAGCTTCACTCTTAAGGATTCTACTGAAAAAAAAAAATGAGGGTGTTATATGCGTTAGAAGACCTAGAAGCTTTTTTTAAAAATTTTCTATACATTTGTCTCTAACAATTTCCCGGGAAAAATTGCAGACAAGTATATGGAAAATCTAAAGCAAGCTTCTGGAGAAATTTAAGCACAGTAACGGCCCCTAAATTTTGTTAGCAAAATCCTTTGCTGTGTAACTTTAGTCCACAATTCATATTTTTTTTAGAACAGCCGTTTTACCGAAATTATTCGACATTAGATTTTTATACAAACACTGTAGTTTCTGACGCGTTCGCCTACTCGTCAAGATGGCGTCGAAAACCGTGTCAAGGTCTATTACGAAATCATAATCATCGCGGTTCTTAAGGCTTGGGTCAAATGAGTTTATCAGTGGAAAATGATTTGTTCGCCATAACATCAGCACAGATTATAGAGCTGAATCAAAATTTGGCACACCTAAAGAAGTCATCGTCATCATCATCATAATATTGTGTCAAGAAGTCGCGTGATAGGTCTCGTCTCTATTTCTATTAAAATCTTCAATAATTGATATATTTGTGGCGTGTTTAAAAAAGGAAATCAAGTAATAACATGTTTCTCATTCATATTTTCTTATTTATGAAAATTTTTCTAACACTTCACGTTTGGAATGACTGTCCATTGCACTTCAATAAAAAATAATGACGCAAAACATCATTTTAAACGCCTAAAGTTTGTCTTTGATTATTTAAAACTTTATTGTAAACTTCGTGTACATTCCAAACGTAGAAAAGAAGATATGTTTACCCTCGATCAGAACACCAATTTATTTATCCAAACAAAGTACATTCGCCATCAATTCGCCAATATCCTTCCTTTTTGAATAATTAATCGTCACGACAAGAAGACGTCAAGATTTACTTTTGGGGAAAAACTCATTTTGTTCTATGCATCCTAAAGCGAGATATTGCCAATCAGTCATATGCTCTGCCCTTGAGGATTTGAAGATTAAAGAAAAAAAACCCTCAGGATTTCGTCCAGTTACCGGGACGAATCAGTTCCCCTTGTGTTCAAATGAGAAATTTCAGCCCGGTTTCCTAAAATTAAGGCCAAAGATCCTGTGTACGAGTTCGAGAAACAAAGCAAACAAAGGCATGGCCAAACACGAAAAATTTAACTTTCTCGCCTTACATAGCTTCGGCAACTCTTAAAGCTGTATTACTGCAGTTAAATGAGATGGTTATGATGTGGAAAATACAGCAGGCAACGCAAGAAGATGCCATCCGGACCGACAGAATTCATCCTGCTTGTGTTCATATTGCGTGCTCCCCAGTCAACCTTGAAAAAGCTTGAGGAGGAGGTAGGGTGCTCGATCCCGACGATCTTACAAAAAATAGTGGGCTATGAAAAGTCTAAAACAAATAATACCGTCCTACTCATTTTTTTTCACCTAATGATTTCATCTAAAGATCTCATTAAAGTTAGAACTGTTTATGAAGGAAGCAATTGTTTCTGCATACTAGATTTGGCATAAATAATAATAGCTTAATTCTTTGCAGAAACTTTGACTTTACATATGACAGAATGACAGAAATAATTCCAGTGGTCAATTAAGTGCATGCGTTAGGAGTGATTAAGAAAGGTTCAAAGATTAAGTTCGTCACTGCAACTCAGGACACATCACGCTCCAGGAAATTCAAATGACAATTGCACTGGGAACGGCACATATCCTATCTATCAAATGACGCTAGAACGAAGACAAGTTCACACAATTTCAGCCCGAAGGCGTACCCCATATTGAATGACGACATATAAATTTATGAATTTTTTAATCCTTTATTTATGAATTTATGTAGTAAAATATCACAATAGTATCTTGGCGCTTCCTTCAGGATTAGATTTGACGTCTTTAGAAGCTTTTGTAGATACCGTACGTATTTCCTGGAATAATAGTCGGGGGCAATTATTACTTTTTTCTTTTTTTGCAAAAAGGGGACTTTTATTCGAGGGAAGGCGATTACTTCAAATATTGCTCATTGGAAGTCGTGCCCTAAACATTTTGTTTTATTATCCCATTAAATAAAAAACGATTACATCAAACTGAACATGAGCTTTTTAAAATGATCGGCGTCAAAGCTTGAATCGTTATTGATCAGTTTTGCTGGATGAGACTCGACTACAACTTGACAGGGACGGGATAAAAGAAAGATATGATGACCAGAGGGGTGAGATAGGGCGATTATTCGAGGAAGGTGATTAGTTATAATCGAGGGACGGCTATTATTCGAAGAAATACGGTATCTCGGGCTCACAAAAGAGACCATTAGGGACTTTAAGATGCCACGACGGCGACGACAACGAGAACGTCAAAAAAGCAATCGGTTGAATAAGCAAAACAACAACTCTGCACGTGCAGCACGCTTTTTTGTACATTTCTTTACCGTCACTGCACTTCTTCGACGGGAAAATGCCTAATTTCACATTTTATGGAGGACGTAAACAAGCGACGGCTAAATTTTCTTTCTTTTTCTGACGTTGAATATGCCGCTTCTTAGGAAGGAATTCGGCTCAAAAAGAGTTCTCTTGCATCTGACAAAGTAAATGAGTTGGAGTAATCGCGTTAGAGATTGAAAACAAATTCAATTTTCAAGCGAGGTTTTGGTGGCCGTCGCCGTCGTGGAATCTTAAACTCCCTAGTATCATCTCCCAGGGTTTAGGCCTTCCGTCCACACTAACGCACTGAGCGTTTTCATCGAAAACGCATCGATTTGAAAATGCTCTTAAAAGCGGATCAAAACAAAAACGCAGACATACCGTATTAGTGTGGACGGACAAAAACGCATCAAAATGAAAACGATGACCGAAAATATCGCAGGCGCGTGTGCTTGTAGTATGCGCATAGAGTTCAACTTACGTCACAACGTGCAAATTCTATCGATTTCTAACGTTTTTGTGTGGACAGTCGAAAACACATCAAAACAGTAGTGTGAACGCGAATTGATCGATGCGCGAGTTCGATGACAACGAACACGCATTAGTGTGGATAGGGCCTCAGAGCATCTTTTATGCATGTGCTCAGTTCTACGGGATCATCCGAGTCACGTGAAGAATAAATTATAATTTAGGGGCTATCTTACGCTATATGCTATCCTTTTATAAAGCTAAAACGTGGTATTGAAACTGAGTTCTTGTTTTCTCTTGCTACGAATATGATGGGCATGGAATGAACTTTTTTCAAATGATAATGATATGCCAGCAAAAAATTATTACTGTTAGTGCTAGCTGATGAAGTTGTTTGATATTTTCTTCATAACTCTACAGGAACATTTTTCAGTGCATAGGAAAAGGCATTAAGTTAAAGAACTTAAACACAAAATTCACTTTCAACAGCAGATAGTATCCTCGTGCATGACGTAGGTCCTTTAATCTTTAGTGGATATCACGGCAAAGGCAGCACTTTCGATCCCAGTCATGTAAAGACCCTGCTGTTAGTTGGTACTTCGGCTGGAGAGCTCTGCAGACCGCCGCTTGGTGAAATAATAGTTTGAAAGAGATATGCTTCTCTGACTTTGGCATGCAGGTGCTTGTATGTGCCACCAACTGGGCATCATCCACCTTCGGCTACCGTGCCCGCAAAGTTAATTCATGGACAATCCCATAATGCAACAAGACGCCAGTGCCCGTTGTTTTCTTTTCTGTGTAATCCCTTTGCTGATCCTGAAACCATAATATTGTAAATTTTAGGCAAGTGCAAAGGCAGCTAGCTGGAATCACTGTTCATCAAGAAAGAGCTAAATATATTTACAAATTATAAAGGACAAGCAGGGTTGAAAAACAGTTTTCTTAGGGAGATTATTTGCAACATACGCACATGGCCTTCGCATTTGCCTGTTAATTTTTTTTATCATTGTTTTCAAGTTTTAAAACAGTGAAACGTTTCATCGGGCAAAATCCACCCCAATTTGTGAGGGCTGCTTTGTGTTCATTCAGTCATGGGGCTTCCCCCTGCCAATTTACGGGGGCGGATGCAGGAGTTTTTGACTGGCAAGGTCGAAAATCTAGTTCAGAAAGGAGTGTTGAAATTTTTTGTGACAAATTACTTCTCCCCCAAACCCTAAATATATTGAATATCCCTAAAATTTATTTTAGTGGCAAAATGCAATAAACTTTTCATTAAAAAAATCAGCTAGTTAAAAAGTGGTATACGGTCCTGTCGATGTAAGAACTTCAGTCTCAAACAAACGTCAGGTCTGATGGAGGGGGAGGGGGGCGCAATGCCCTTTATATTAGTAAAACAGCGACAAATAATTTTGGAAAAAGCTATCCATGTTTATGTTGAGCGAACTCACGTCAACTAAGAACGGAAAGAAAATGCATAAGAATCGAAGAGATTTTAATACTTTTAACAATTTAAATTCACATCTATTTCGGACTATTTTTCTAACTCAACAGTACCCATTAAGCCAGCGTTTTAAACATACGTAAGTGTTTAATACCCCCATAAGAAACTGTGCCATCTTTTTTAGTGAAAATGAAACCATCCTGTGGAGTCTCGGATTTCAGATGTGGGGGAACATAGACAACATGCGCAAAATCCTCTGAAGATGATTCCTTTTCCCATTCTTCGGAAACAATACAACTCCAAATATGGCCATTCACACTGAACATGTGACATTGGTTATCGGACGTTTTGGCGAAAATCATTTTCTCTAAGCCACGTACAATCATCCCAACGATTATCTTAACTCGCCGGTCAATCCCTAAAGATAAAAACGAAATTGGTAGTGAATCTTGAAGCAGAGATCAGTGGGTCATTTCAGTCGTGGTCATCATAGTACTCCCTGCGCAGGGCAAAACGCTTACATGATAATTAAACTTCTGAAATAATAAATTCGAATTCGCCAATTGCTCCCATGTTAAATTTAAGGTCAGGTGATATACGTAGCCACCGCGAAACGAAATAATTTTATTATTTTTATTCCGTCCGGGGTTAATCAAGCGCAGTGAAAGATTAAGTAATGATTTAAAAGCACTTACCGGTCCACTTAACACCATCCGTCGAAACATAGCATGAGGGATCTAAATCACTAGAAATTGATAGTAAAAAGAAAACGTCATTAAATAGATTAACAGATAACTGACAAAATATAATGAAGCTAATTCAACGTGGATGAGAAGAACTACTCAACATATGCTTGTTAGAGATACTTAGTATACTCATTAACCTACTTCAAAGATCCTTGTTGAAGAAAGAGATCAGGGGGAAGTTGTTCGAAGGCCGATTAGCGCTTAACCCGGGTTTCTTTATCTTGTGTTCAAAAGCATTTTCTCGGATAATTTTCTCTGTTATTTTTAGAGCTTCCAATCATCAACTTGTAGACAAAAAGAATTAAAGCTGAAATGCTTTTTAAGTTTCAAATCTTAGTTCAAATCTCACACTAACCCTGGGTTATCTTAACCCAGCTTTGAACAACTCGGCCCAGGAAATTAAAGTTATCATACTAAACTGATTGTTTCATCTTGCAGACCTCGCTTTTTTGTTCTAAACGGTCTGTCATTAGATCTTCAGCTCTACTTCGTTGAGCCTTGGGAAAGGGTTTCCCCCAAACGCCAGTAATTTTAACCAAATGACCATTTTCGTTGATTTTTTTTTCTTAAGGAAAACGCTGGTTATATTGAATACACAAAGATATGAAAACTGGCTGGTTCAATCAAACAACTTAACAATACCTAGCGAGTACTTTACCTCTTTTTCTCTTTACAAAGGTACACTTCATTGGACAGAGGGTGCATCAAGAATCCTCTCGGGGTACCTGACGAAGGAGGAAAATTAACCCCTAGTGTTAATGCTCCTTATTGCCAATTATGAAGCGTTATCACATGTCGTCACGTCCGCCATATTAGTGAGCTTTTTTTGAGCGACGCATGTCAACCGGAAGTGGTCTTTTTTCGTTTTTGCACGGTGGTTTTGCTCAATTTTTTGGACAAATCGTCTCTATAGTAGTAAAGACATTTAGAAATACAAATTTGGTAGTGTCGAGGTGCTTTAAAATGAAAAAGACCTTACTTCCGGTTGGCGTGCGTCGCTCCAAAACGCCTTTACTAAAGCTCCCTAATTATTGGTGTCGTAAAATAATGAAACGGCGGCCATATTGGTGTCCTAAACCAATCCTGTTAGAGTTAAACCTTATATGCACTCTTCTGTTCCAAAATAAATTCTGTGTATCTGCTGGCCACGTGAGTGAAAACATTAAACGCCGTTTAAGCCTGTGAATTGGCACTCTTTTGTTAAAGCACGCAAATGAGGTTAAAATAAGGATCAATTTAGGTGTCTGGGAAACTGCCCACCTACCCCTCCCCTGAACCAACATTAACACTTAATTCTTGTTTAGGGCAAAATGTTGATTTAGGGGAGGGGTAGGTGGGCAGTTTCCCAGAAACCTAAAACACAAATAATGCAAACTTGCTAGATAAACTTACCTTCCTTTGCTGTGAAATTGACTGTCACAGCCTCAATTGAGCCTACAAACATTTCATTTGCATCTCCTGACATGCGCTTTTCGTACATGATGTAGGTCGGTATGGAAAGAAAGTGACCTCCCGTTGATAACTTACTTTCCGGGTCAATTTGAACAGTAATGTTGATTTCCATTGAGAATGTCAGGTCAATCTTACCAACCTGGACAAAAAAGGTAGGCTACTGCTTTAGCTGTGCTGTGCACTTGCATCTCTTTCTTTCTCTCTCTTCCCCCTCTTTTGCTTTGCCTTCGCATATGGTTTCTTATTTATTTGTTTTATTCTACTGGCACGCGTGTTTTTGTTTGTGAGTCTAGCTACATAAAAAAATAGAGAATAATCCGAAAACCTTGCGGTTCTGTAAAAATTAGGCTCTGGGTATTTCCTTCTTTAACTTATACTTACAGTTTTTGTTACTTTTAAAAATCCGTTTTCCAAACAAAAGCGGAAAAAAAAAGCAGAGATATATTTTCGACGAAATCTAAGAGAAATGTAAATTAAGTTATTTTTGTTCTTGTTGTAAAACGGTGTACCCTAGGTCCAATGTTTTCTTTCTTTCTTTCTCTCGTTTTAACAGCAGGTTTAAATCCATATCGAAAAGAAGCCTCATATGTAAAGATTTTATTTTACTTTTCATTTATTTCTCAAAAACGAGAAAAAAAAGACATCTAAATGTCGGCTGTAAAAATTTTACTTTCGTGGAAAATAAAAAATAAATTGGCTGTGAGAGAAGAAATGAAAGTCAAAATCTTAGCTAAATCTTTCTTTTCGTGGAGAAAAATATGTCGGGAAAAGGAAGGCAGGAAATAGCAATATTTTTCAGTACTATTCAAAGCCAAACAATTTTCACATCCACTTAGTCTCAGAAGTTAAGCTTGATATCAATTTAAGAGCATTTTAGTGAATTTTATGGAGCAAAGTTTTCAGATCCTGTATAAAAAACAAGAAAGTCGTCCATTATATATCCTACCTTAATTTGATACTCTCCAGGGTAGGGATTGGTGATGTTTTTCTTGGGTACGTGTCTGAGGAAGCGCGCGTAATGAGGTAAGATCCAAACCAATACTACATTCCACGCATGGTCACTTGATAAGGCGTCATGGGTGAGAAAGATTGTAAATGTCACAGAATCACTGAAAAGAAAAAAGTGTCGATTGTGAAAGAAAAAAACAAAACAAAACAAAACAAAGCAAAGAAAAACAAAATAAAATAAATATAACACAAACACAGTAAAAAATACACTGCAACATAGGCAGTTGGCACTTTCTGCAGTGTTGATTTTAGAAGCCTTACCGCAATGTTGGGGAGTTTTCGACATCGAAAATCCTTCGTATTTAATTATTCTACATGCTTCCACTCATTCTAGTCATACTTGTTAATTTGGCCGCGCGACTGGGTAGGACAGTTTTGCAGCCTTGGAAATTTGCGTGTTTTACAAGAAACAGAATAAAAAGTTCTTCAAGTTTTTTGACGAGTGTATTTTTCAGATACAGTTATACATATTTTAATAAGATTTAAAAACGACAAAAAAGTTCGTGTCATCAATGGCTCGTATTTGCTACACTAGGTATCAATCTGCACGAATGGAAATAACGTAACAATTAAGGTTTGTGGACTTCACTGTCAACTAACTTGAGATTTCCGTAACTAACCCTAGTGAAATAAATAACCGTATTTGAAATTATTATCCCAGTTTAGCCAACGCCCACCAACGCCCAAAGTCTCTCCCTCTCTGCGTTTTCTCCGTGTCACAGGAATTGAATTACGGTTATTTTGTTACTGTTATAGTATATAGATGCAGGTTGCTCCTTACTGGTTGTCGCTGTAGTGTCGTTGTATTTTTCTTTTAAGAGGTTTTGGATAAATGAGGAATTTTCAACTCCTATGAATGGGAATATTATGACTTCTATTTCTAGCACTAGTACTTCTATGTTATCAGGGGCACCCAGTGGATCTGTACCCAAAAAAATCTGTTCTACAGGCAAATTTTTGCTGGCTGGGAAATGTGGGAAAAAATAATTTGTCCTTGGAAGGAAAGTGTTCCTGGGAAATGGACAATTCAGGGTGTCTGAGAGGATTAGATGTCTTTAATAGGTGCTACGTGTTATTTTTCAGCAACCTCTCTCCCCTCCCCCCTGCCCCCCCACTGAAGGGGTGAATTTTGCTCTATGACCACACCCAAACTGACCAGTAATGTCTGGACATACGTCTGCTGGGAAACTTCCCAGTAAGTCAGGTTCCAGGTTGTAGGTGCACCTTGCTGGCTGGGAACTTTTCCATCAGTCTTGCTGGGAGTGAGGAACAGATATATGTTTCCCGGCAATCTCCCAAAATGGCATCAGAAAGCTTTATTTATGCTTTGTTGTTATTTTTAAGTCTCTTTCTGAAACTTTTCCCCTTGAGTGCCCCTGTGTTATAAATACTTTTAAGGCTTAAAGTAGCGGCAAAATAAACAAACACAGATGGGGTGCCTTTTTCATGCACTACTTTTTTTGATGAATGTCCAGAGCTATATATTATAGTAAATTCTCCTTCGCGTCTTAAAACTACTCCGGGGAAGAGATATTCTGTCATTTGTATCACTTACTTTGCAAGCAAATTGTCAGAAGCATTTAGGATTAAGACTCTTTGTTGTAGAATAGGTCTTCGCTCTGAATGGAAAAGAAAAGAAAAAAACCAGCTGTTTATAATATCGGTTATATGATATATCCATCTTTCAGAAATGGTGACATCATTTATGTAGGGGAGCTGTGGGCCGCAAAGCTGAGCGAATGACTGGACCCGACTTAATTATTGTCTAAAAGGATACACGAGTTGTCTGACAGCTGGTCTTATAGTTTATTTGTATTTTGCCTCTTCGTTTATATCCCCTTTCGCTACTATAAGACTTCTTTTCAACACGCATTGAGTTCGCAGGTTATTATAGGGATGTATCAACCAGTTTGTTTTACATTTGAATTACTTCTTATGATAAACCTTCCTTTGAGGCCCTCTCATGGTAATGCTAGGTAGGAGTTTTTAAATAAAGTTACTTCATATGAGGTCGAACGACATAATTCGTGCCTATGCCGGTTGTTAGTGTTGGTGTGAGTGGTAGAGTACTGGTGGTGGGGAAAGTGGTAAAGTAGAGGTATTGTTAGTGTTACTGTTAGTGTTAGTGATTATGTCAGTGTTAGTGCTATAGTGGTTATGTTTACGCCAGTGCTGGTGGTATCGAGTCAGTGGTAGAGCAGTGTTAGTGGTAGTGTTTGTTAGCGTTGTTAAGTGTTGGTGTTAATGTTGTTGTCAGCCAGTGTTGTTGGAGGCGTTACTACAAGTTTATGATATTGTCGCTGTATTGTTAGTGTTGGTGATAGTAATAGTGTTAGTCAGTGTGTTAATGTTACTTCGTGTTGGTGTTAGTGGTAGTGTGGTAGTGGTAGTTTTACAGTTATGGTTGTGTTTTTGGGAGAGGAATAAGATCTTAAGAAAACAATAATAAACTACTGAGACGTGAACGTACTTTGGCGACTGATTCCCTACCTCTCACAACGAGTTGCACCTCATAGGTATCGCTTCCGGCAATATTGGACGCGTTACACATGTAAAGGCCTGTATCTGACTGGTTTAGAGAGGGGAACGCTAGGCTGGTATTTTGGTAAATCAAACTTCCGTCTTTAAACCATCGGACTACTGGTGTAGGATAGCCTTTCGCCGAACAATTAAGAATGAAAGAATCTCCAGTGAAAACAGTTGGAGGGTCGGTCTTGTTCGCTATGGAAGGAGGCTCTGAGATAAAAGCAATAAGTAACTGAACAAAACTGTGAAGATAACTTGAAAACAAATCACATAAATATTTAAATCGTTTGGATCTAACCTTCGATAAAAACTGTCCCAACAACTGATCCCTTGCTTGAAGTGCGACTTGTTTCACATTTATAAGCAAGTTTCTCCTCCATCTAATCAGAAAGAAAAAATGCACACACACAATAAAAATCACTTGATTGAACCGATGGAGTGCAATAAAAAGCTTGGAAGTTTGGTCGGATATCGCTGAATGACAGTTTGATTGTAAATTTTTTTTGGATTCTGTTGATACCTGGAATAATCGAGGTCGAGATAACCAAAGTGTTACCAGCGGAGTCCGAGCGCTCTTCGTTTTACCAGATTTCACAAAAACCTTATGGACCTTCTTTCCTCGAATAATACTGGCAGGGGGCGATTATTTCGAGGGAGGCGATTATTTTAAATTCTGCTCACTGGAAGTTGTGCGCTAAATATTTTGTTTTATCATCCCATTAAACAAAAAATGATCATATCAAATAAACTGAACATGGGCTTCCAATTTGGTCCCTTGATTAATTTTCAGGGTCAGTATCCTAGGCGTCAGAACTTGAATCGTCAATGATCAAATTCGCTGGATCAGGCTCCACTCCAACTTGACAGGGAGGTAATAAAAGGAGAAGATGGCGAGAGGGGTGGGGATGGGTGATTATTCGAGGAAGGCGATAAATCGAGGGACCGCTATTATTCGAGGAAATACGGTAACTTACTAATCTGTAGGTTGCGCTGATTTCCGAGATCAACTGTACGCTCTAGCCAATGAGTACAATGTATAATAATTATAAAAATCCGCCTTTTCTGTTTTGCGCTCAGCTTTGCTATCACTACACCGGTGAAGACATGTCTTTCTTAACTCTGGCCACTAAACGTTTTCTTGGGTGAAAAACATGAGGATATTTGTTCCTGAACTTCTCGTGTCAAACGTGATGGGTTATTTTTTGAAATCCTTATCACGTTAAGGTAATGTTACATGGGACGATTCGCAACGACGATTTTTAGCGCAAAACGGCGTTGCAATGTTGGAACAATGTTGTAACTGTTCAAAACAATGTCACAACATTGTTGCAACGTTGTGTTGCGCTAAAAATCGTCGTTGCGAATCGCCTCGTGTAACATCACCTTTAGAATAATTATTTGTTTCAGACGGGCATTAGAAAAGAGAAAAAAGAAAGATAAAAAGGGAAGATGAGAATGGTAGTGATGATGCTTTATAATGATGAAAGAATAATGACGAAATTGTGATGATATGGCGATGCAAATGATGACGAATATAATGTTGATGATATGATGATGATGATGATGATGATGATGATGTGTAAGTGATCGTTAAAAATAAAAAGGGTCAAAAGGTAGCTTTTAGCGCCTAATAAGCTCGAAAATCATGCACGTTAACGAGGAAAAGGAAAGGAAAAAAAGAAAGAACGAGGAGGAAGGAAGGAAAAGAGCAGAAAAAGGCAATGGTTTCACTCTTAACTTTTATACTGCCTATGTTTTGGCCCTTAAAAGCTGCTTGACAGAATAGGTCTATTAACGTTTTCAAAAATTCGGCTAGATTAATTTTTGAATACTTGATATGAGTGCATTAGTATGAATACTACCGGCTGATCCCTTCATGACTTTCTCTTGACTGATTACCTTGATGTTATAGGTGCCTACTGTATCAGGAGCAGTGAGTATACTGCTAAAGTGATGCGGTGTACAGTCGAACTCTGATGGTGATACACTTGCCAAACACAAACTTCTCCCGAAGAAGTTCAAGTACACCTGCCGTATACAACTTGGGCAAAAAATGGAATTAGCACAGTGTTTGTAAAATCCTGGAAAAAGGTA